TATATTCTTTATTACCACTAAAATTGATTACATATTATAGATCTATATTAAGCACCGATTCTGCAGATTTTGACATAGATCTAGATCTACACCTCAGAACAAAAAGCACCATTCTTTTCGGTAAAAATGTTTAATAAAAAAAAACAACGAAACGAAACAAAACAAAAACAAACACCAGTTCCCCCTCTCCCTCACCCCTCAAGCAAAATAACGGAACAAAATAAAAAAATGACACGATGAGGTGGAATCTGACGCCTTTCAATTTTTGGGCATATGGGGTTATTGGTATCATCTTAAAACTGTTTGTTTGCTTTTCTTTAAGTGAAAAAAATAATACATCTACTTTGTATGTTGAATAGAAGTCGAAATACTTGCAATGGAAGGTCAGGGTCTCCTGGTTTCGGAGGTAAAATTAGTGAGAAAATGGCCGCCAAAGTTTAGTAACTTCCATAGCTTGAGAGTCCTTGGAGACTGAAAATTTACCTTTTTTGTTATTTTAGTCAATTTTTGTCAGAAAAATAACACAAAAATGTATTTTTCAAAGGACCAAAAAGTGTTGAGCCGAAAAATAAAAAAAAATAAAAAAATTGGGTTCAGCCCCAAAAATGTCGATTTCTTTGATTTTATTATTTTGACGAGCGCCTGATTTCACTACGATTCCTCACATATATTGTTTCTCCCACAGTGCTGAGCGGCGGCGCCGTGATCCGCATTGGGTTTGTGATGACGCTACTGGGCGTGATCCTGCAGTTCATAGGCGTGGCCACGGTGAACTGGCAGGTGTCTGAGCATGGCAACTCCACCCTCGGGGTGTTCACGCGCTGTGACCAGGACGTCTGCCGTGACTTCATCGCCAACAACCCTAGCATGGGTCAGATTTTTCTTTGCTTTTTGGGGGGGTTTTTTTTTTTTTTGTGGGGGGTTTGGGGAGGAGGATGTAAAGGAATTTTTACGGGTTTTTAACTAACGTCAATGTCGCCGATCAGGACAAGACCGACTGGTGTGAAAAACCGTAATTATGATAGGTATACTCTCTACAAATGAGAGACAACTTTTACGAAACCACCAATGTGGATTTGAACCAGAATCAGCTGCCCCAAAGTCCATATATGTCACATGTATATAATAT